GTGAAGACTTCTTTGATACTTAATCACCCGTGGCTATACTGACCACAATTCGGGTGCTACTATCACTGACTGCCTCACATGGTCTTCTCGTTCATCAAATGGACGTTAAGACAGCTTTCCTCAATGGAGAGTTGAAGGAGGAAATTTACATGGATTAGCCAGATGGTTTTGTAGTACCTGGTTAGGAAGGAAAGGTGTGCAAGTTATTAAAGTCTTTATATGGCCTTAAACAAGCTCCTAAAGAGTGGCATGAGAAGTTCGAAAGAACATTAACTACTGCTGGCTTTGTAGTAAACGATGGTGACAAGTGTGTGTACTATCGCTATGGTGGGGGCGAAGGAGTTATTCTTTGTCTGTATGTTGACGACATATTGATCTTTGGAACCAAGATTGATTTAATCAAGGAGGTTAAGGATTTCTTATCTCGCTGTTTTGAGATGAAGGATCTAGGAGTAGCTGATGTTATCTTAAACATCAAGCTGTTGAGAGATGAGAATGGTCGGATCACACTGCTTCAGTCTCACTATGTGGAAAAGGTCTTGAGTCGTTTTGGGTATAGCGACTGCACACCTTCTCCAGCTCCACATGATGCTAGTGTGTTGCTTCAAAAGAATCGACGGATTGCTAGAGATCAACTGGGGTATTCTCAAATTATTGGCTCGCTTATGTATTTGGCGAGTGCCACGAGGCCTGACATCTCGTTTGCTGTTAGCAAGCTGAGTCAGTTTGTGTCAAAACCGGGAGATGATCATTGGCATGCGCTTGAAAGAGTTATGCGCTATTTGAAAGGCACTGCGAGCTATGTGATTCACTACACCGGGTATCCAAGGGTACTGGAGGGTTATAGTGACTCAAACTGGATATCTGATGCTGATGAGATTAAGGCCACAAGTGGTTATGTTTTTACACTTGGTGGTGGCGCTGTTTCTTGGAAGTCTTGCAAGCAGACCATCTTAACGAGGTCAACTATGGAAGCAGAACTCACAACATTAGACACTGCCACTGTTGAAGCAGAGTGGCTTCGTGAGCTCTTGATGGACTTACCTATGGTTGAAAAACCAATACCCCCTATCCTGATGAACTGTGATAATCAAACTGTGATCGTCAAGATAAACAGTTCTAAGGACAATATGAAGTCCTCAAGGCATGTGAAGAGGAGACTGCAATCTGTCAGAAAATTGAGGAACTCCGAAGTTATTACGTTGGATTATATCCAAACATCGAAAAATTTGGCAGATCCCTTCACAAAGGGTCTATCACGTAATGTGATAGATAATGCATCGATGGAGATGGATCTGAGACCCACCGCATGAGTTGTCCATAGTGGTAACCCACTCTATGTGATCGGAGATCCCGTGAAGTAGAAGTGGGAGACAAGTTGTTGGTCAGCTGGGAGGAGAGTATCCCTATATTACCTATCCCACTCCATGAAGATGCAATACTCTCCTGATCTGCATGGCAGGTTGATACTTATCTTAATGTGTTCCAAGTGGCTTATTCGGATAAGCAGAGATGTTGTCCTGCAGAACATCTTCTGAGGAACACACCTATATGAATTTGATTGTTAACGTCGCAGTCTATGAGAATTGGGTGTTCTCTACTAAATTCATGAAAAGGCCCTGGAGTATGACGTATACACTCCACCCGCGGGGAAGCCTTGCGGCAGCCCAGTATCGGTCAAGAATTTGTGTGAAACTAGTCTCGCAGAAAACTTGTAGTTCAAGGCATAGTCCACTATTCAAGTTGTGATCTAGTGTAGCATAAATCTCTAGGTAGAAGTTCAACTTCACAGTCTCCACTAAGCACCGGTATATAAACAATGTTTTGGAACTAAATGATGAGATGTGCCAATGAGACTTTATGGGGGATTGTTGGAATTTTGCTAGTAGGCCCTTGGCCCAAAGCCCAACTAAAATTCTGAAATTCTCTTGGCCCATTCATGCACACATGTGAGTGGAGTGAGTGAGACTAAAGTTTAGTCCCACCCCGGAAGTTGAGAGAGAGTTGCACCTCTTTATAAGGTGAGCTCTTCTACCACTTGTATGAGCATGAGAAGAGGAGATCTACATGCGCGCTCCTCCTCCTCGCTCGCCTCGCCACGCCTCGCCTCGCCTCGTCACAACGCGCCGCGCCGCGGGTTGCGGGATTGAGCCGAGCCGAGGACAGAGCTATGCATGTTGTCTATATTTTTGCTGCTCGAGAAAAACTAATGAGTCATTAATTAATAATTAATGGACGCGTTAATTACTGAAACGTTTCCGATTCTTTTGGATCGTGACAACTCGGACGTGGGGTTTACTCCCACGACCTTCTTTTGGATCTTGACGTCTACCCTAGCCGCCGCCGCTTCGTATGGTTTCTCACCACCGTTTCAGATCATTGCACCGCCAAGCAAGTCTTCTCCATCCCTCCTTTCGGCGTGCACCGGGAGAAGGGACAGCAGGCCTCCGGAACCCCGCCTCTCGTGATCCTGTACGGGAGAGGGGCGATCAGGTTTTTGGGGAGCGCACTCGCGCGACTGCTGGCAGCGACGACTTCGCGAACGACGACTTCTTCCCCGACCTCGGCAACCTCATCCTCGATGACATGGGCGACAACGTCAACGCCGGCGGTGCTGCACCCGCTGCACCGTATGTTATTCTATCCTTCTTGTTCGAGATCGTGGTAGAATTCATGTTTCTAGTATGTGCCCTAGATGTGATATGTTCATCTACTATGCTAGTTCGCATGATTAGTTTAATCTCTGCTATTGCTGTCATGATCTATTTTCTATTTATTCGGATTAAATCTCGTAGTATTTTGCTCATTTTTCCAACAATAATCCTAAAAGACTGACCGTCCAGGTAGTCGTTTGTCGGAACCGCGAACATCCATTCGACCATTCTCCCCGAGCCTTCACAACAAGCCTCATGTTGCGCTCATCCTTTGCAACACGAGCCTTGTTGCAATCCTCTTAATTTTTTTTGTCTTTTCCGTGCGACAGCCATTTGATCGTTAGCTATTGGCACGTGTTAAGCTCATGATTTTTACAACATGGGCCATCTTGCACTCTGTTCAAAGTGTTTTCCCAAGAGGTCGTGTGCTCATGCGTTTTGCAGCAAGGTTCATGTTGCAAACAAATGTATAGTTAGGGTTGTTGCACGCCTCGTGTTCATCGGCCTACAACATACTTTGCAAAGCGCTCATGCGTCTTGCAACAAGGGCCATGTTGCAGGCGGCTCGGTAAGAGGCATGTGGTTCACGGACGATGCATTGGACGTGTAGCCTCCGATCAGCCGAGTGAATAGAAATATTTCCAAAAATTAATGGTTTTGTTGTTTCTCATCTAGCTGAGAATTAGTTGTGTTTCAATCTTGCATGTGGCCATTCGATTGAAGCACGCAATCGTGTGGGGCACATGAAACTGGAACATGTGGGTTTCTCTAGGAACATCAAGCTTAATTCATCATTCAAAGTTCATGGGAATACAAATAATATCACGTAAAATTGATAGCCAAACATGTCGCCTGATGGAAAGAGAACCCGCGGCTCTAGCCAAACCATGCTCCTGTCCATCATTGTCTCTTTTCTCACGGCCAAAAGATACCTCCCTGAATGAACTTCGCCGAGATCAGCCTCTTGAAGACTAGTAGCATATCGACATGGAGCAAACTGTTGATATTCGTGACGACCTCCAAGCAATCTAAAGATACCTAAAGATCAATCTCTCAAAGACTGCGAATTTTCAAATGAGATCACATGTGCAAGTTTTCAAATGTGGTCTCAACCACAGTTTTCGAGATGGAGTTGCAGTTGCAAGTTTTTGAATGGGGTCGCAACTTCATGGTTTAAAAATGGACCGCAATTTGGGTTGGGGGGGTTGACTCATATACCGGGTGGTTAGTTCAGGTGTGGGGCAACTGGTTGAATTTAGGGTTTGATGTTAAACCGAGTGGCAAGTTCAACATTGTAAAGTGGACATTTCTCATCACATAACAACGACAATTCTCTATAGAGAAAACAATAATACTTGAACCGTAATTATATTGGAGCATTCCAATTTCATGGAGCCAACACTCATTACATGACTATTATTCACAAATGTGAATCCATACATGAAGATGCTACCACAAAACTTGCTCAATTGTTAAAGAATACTGCAACCAAAATTCACTAGCGCTTCCTATACACGTCGTGTGTTTTGAGGGACCATGTGATGCACCAACCTCAGATACCTAGCAAAGAGACACATGGTTGTGCATATAACATCCGTTGTCAGACAGCAATAAGAGGAGCACAAGAGGAACACGCGCACGCGCACACACACACATCAAGGAGACGGTAGGAATCTACATCGGAGCTCTGTCAACTACGTTCAGATGCACGAACTCAAAGATGATTGAAACCGGGAGAACAAACTCGAAGAAAAAGCGCCGCCATCTACCCGAGCGCCGCACCGGCAAGGACTAGCAAATCCTAACCTAAACTACCATCCGGAGCGAAGGCACCGGGATCCCCCCCCCACCACCACCACCACCACCACCATCACCTACCATGGGAGCAGTGGGTAGAGGAGAGGCGAATCCACAAACTCGTCGGCAAAGTTTGAAGGGGAAAGTAGACACCGAGGGGAGGGGAGAAAACGGTCGAAGAAAAAGTTTACCAAACCGCATGGTACCTTCACATGTGGTAAGCAATCCAAACAATTCAAAAAAAAAAAGAGAAGAAATGAAGTGTGAAAAACCAATTACTTGACTGGAGCAATGTCTCCACTAAAAGGAAATGTAGATGCACAAAGAGGGGCGCTCATTGTTTTCAGTAAATCTATAAAGGAAAAGAAAATTACTGCATAACGCATGCAAACTACACTCCCCTATGGCGAGACACGACTAGGCCCAACTGATTTATGACATCTAAAACCAAATCCTCCACTACAACGTTGGTAAGAGCGAGACACTCATGAATTTCAAATTAAAAGGAAAAAAAAGGAGTGAGACATTTGTGGGTGAATATATAAATGTTCAGCTTCTTCGATATTCCACGTTACATACATCAGGATGTCGCTGAGCCGCCACCTTGCTCTCCTGCTTCCTGACGCCACTTGCACCCTAGAAATCAATTTGTTGACTTTCACAGAATCACATTGGTTAAAAATGATCATACTACTTTACGGAAGTCTACGAATCTATGCCGTACCGACATTGATGATTAGCTTCATAAACACTCTAATACTTCAGCTGCTCTGGTTCTCCACGCTGCGTTAAGGCCATGTACAATGCAAGATGTTTAGAAAATATACCTAGAGAAATAATTCATTTTTTCTTTGAGCATAGATGTTTATTTGTAGACGATACACACTTAATTAGCACCCCTCATGTACAGATTAGCACCAATGCTTAAAAACCCAATTTATTTTACTAAACACCTTGCATTGCAAGGCCTGAAGCGCCTCAACCCCCTGTGGAATCGTTCGCTCAATCCCATACTCGACAAGGCTGTAATCACTTGCGGTATGCCCCTCGATTGTAAAAAACAAAGACGACCTAATGCTGCAAGTGAAAGAAAAATTGGCGCTACTGACAGAGGACAAAACAAGCTAGTCCAGCCCTCATTTTGTGAACTGTGGCTGCTACCCTGCCTAACCATCTTATCTAGTGACCACTCACTGTCACATTGATCTGTCTTAGTTGTCTACTTGTCTTGTTCCTACACATATATATACATATACTTCGTGTATAATTGGTGTCGCAATGGTCCATCCGTATATCATCCGGATTTGCCACTGTATATCCAAGCGATGTCCTTGCTGCAGTTCAAGAAGCTCGCCGACGTGCACACCGTAGATGATTGATGGAAGGAACTCATTTATGCCTCTTTTGGTTTATAGAATAGGATTATCATAGGAATAGGAATCTTGTAGGAAATGAGATGACATACATCTCAAATCCTATGAGTAGGAATAGGCTCTTTTTTATTTTCCTATGAAATATGGAGGATAGGAACCAATCCTATGTAGGAATAGGAATCCATTCCTATGAATCAAAGGGCTCTAAAAGAAAAAAATCCTATAAGAATCCTATCCTCTAGAATTCCTATGAAATTCCTGTAAACCAAAGGAGGCCTTAACCTGTCTGCCATTGAAGGCACCGCCAGACATATGTACATCGACGAACGAGTTTAGAAGCCTCAATGAATATAAGAGTCGGCTTATGAAAAGAGCTCGGAAGAGATGGTTTATTTTTTAAGCCGTTCAAAAGAACTCCCCTTAATTTCATCTAATCAAGCCCTTAGAGTAGGAGTACTAGTAGAAAATTGCGATGTCCAAGGACGCCATCATAGCCGAACCGACCAGCAAGCCGGGATAAGTTTTTTACCCAGAGGGCAAGACAGCAGCAAGCCGTGATAGTAGGTTGCTTCACTTCACAAGTTCACATGGTGATTGACCACACCAGTACACACACATTACTCGAAACTTTTTTACTAGCTCGTGCCACATTTTGAAGACCACGAATCTCAGTAGAGTTTTTCACCACGCCTTCCTGTGTATCAGGAGGTCAACTATGTTTACATGAGTCTTTTCTTTTCTCTTCCCATTTCCCCCACTGAAGTAAACTGCAGCATCGATTAATCCCCTGGTAGATCTACCTCTTCCTGCGCTTAGAAGGCTTCGTCGAAGATGGTTTTGGCACTTCGGGCATCTTAGCTTCGACACATTGCTCCTGCAAAACCGACCGGGGAAAAAAAACCCCAGGAAAATGGACCGCATCAGAGATCAGTTATCTCAAGAAATTGTTGACAGGATAGGAAGTGCAGAACAAAAACCGTGTGCTCAATTTTAGTGTAGACCAAGGCATACAGCCCCTGAAAGATGGTGGATTTTAACGACTTTTGTAAGTAGCACTGCGACACGCAGAAAGGTGGAAACTATTCCAACAAATAATGATAATTATAACGAAAACTACTGGAGTAACAAGTGAGAAACTGCTGGCACAAACAACAAATACAAGTAGCCCCAGAAAGACGGTTGCATTTTGATGACTTTGATAAGTAGCACTATGACACGAATTGCAGAAAGCTGAACTGTTCCAACAAAGAACGGGAATAACAACGAAAACTACTGGAGTAAGAAGGGAGAAACTGCTAGCACAAAAAACAAATACAGAGTGGCCCCAAAGATGCTGGAGGTACTAGAGAACAAGCTAGCAAGTATATGTACTGATGAATTATTAATGTTGATAACAGGAACCTTTTTCACAGAGAAAATTCTCTTAATGATAAAATCTAAAACATGCAACAGTGAGTGCTGAACTCCAATCATATTTGACAGTCATGACTTCAACTCAGGATTTGCAAAAGTTCCAGCCTTATGGACTAAAAATCTTAAAAAGTTTCCTTCCCTAGAAAACATTTGCATTTGTTTCACAGCTCAATGAATTGGACTAAGAATCTGCAACAGTTCCAGCCTTATGGACTTAATGTAAAAGTGAGATCTGACAAGTGACAAGAAAAAACTTTTAGCAGTCATGATCTAAGTGTAAAGAGTACCAGTTGCTAATGGAGCACAATATGCATCACTAATATAATTTTCAACAATGCTACAGGCTGCAAGTAATGTTCCGATTGACAGGTAAAAAATGAACAAAATTGCAGTACTAACTACTAAAGTGATATAGAGAGCCAGAAGAAGGACTAAATCTGGAAATGTTGGAGAACAACAGGATACAGACCTCCTCCCACTTCCTCTGGAGTTCCAGAAGCTCTTTACAACATGCTACACACTCAGCGTGGTAAGCAGCGGCTAGGTCTTTAATCAAGGCCTTCCTTTTGATGACGCCAATCACTTGAAATCATTGATAAAATTATGTGTCAGAATGCGATAAAAGAGTTAACAGAACTTGCCATACTTTCAAATAGCAACACTTGGCAAATGAGAAGGAAAAGCTAGATCTTCCAAACAGTTCATAATAGAAAAGACAGAGTATTCGGTTCGAGGACATCCTAAAGATGGTGTCCTAAATAGAATGCCACAGTACTGTAATATAGCGCAGCAAAATTTATTTAACAAGCTTCTAAACTTAATGTTGGTACCAAAACAGCCGGTGAATGCACATCCTGAAAGTTTATGCAGATGAATTGTGCGCTAATTAAATATGTGAAGCTTCGCGACGATGACTGAGATAGCACATGGAAGCTTGTGCTAATCAAATCGCTTGCGTGGAAAAACAAACGGTTCAGCATGAGTTCCTAATGGCGGTCATGGATTCCATCCAAAGGCATCAGTATCCATTCACCGCATGCGTGTTCTCGGTTATTACTGCAATTGGACAGAGCCATATGAGGTACAAACATGTTGATAAGAATTATATTCCCAACCTCCCCTCCTGCCAATTCGTAGTTGTGAATTTCCCACGAATCAAACAGATTGTGTGCAGTAACCGATAAATAAATAGATAGCTACTACTAATAATCAATACAGTAGCCAAGATTCCCTAGACAGGGCTGAAACCAACCCAGCCCAACCCAGATCAAGCACGAACAAAGCAGCACAGCATAATTGGCAGATTGAGACGAGAAGAGAGGCCCTTACTCCGGCTGGGATCGAACTGCTGCTGCTCGTCGGAGGGCTTGTCGCCGTTGGCGGCCGGCTCCATGCGGACAGGATTGGAGACCCGCCGGGTTAGGTTAGGGTTCTGGCCGGCTAGATCCAGCCAACCAGCTAGCCAGGAGCGCGAGCGCTTGGACCAACCGAACGGGGAAAGGGAAAGGCTACCGAGCCGGAGTGCGGGAGAGTTGCCGGCTGGCTATTTGTTTCCTCTCGTATACGGAGATCGCCGGCGGGCGGCGAGGGGCTCACCGCACCGGAGTCGGGAGTGACCGGAAGACGCACGAAGTAGAGACGGCTCGAGCTATCTGGGCTGTCTTGCTACTACGGCCGGATATGCACGAATGGGCTGCGTCTGGCCCAGGCCCAGCTGAGAGAGGCCACAAAACGCGAGTTTCTCAACAAATAGGGAACGCGCGAACTATGTCCCGCTTCATGCGAGATCGAAGCAGCTCTCGCCCAAAGGGTTTCCTCTTCCAGTTGTTTCAGGGCCGGAACATTTTAATTATTTTTTCGTCGCCTCTAATTTCTCGTCGCTCGATCGCATGTTTGTTTGTTGGTTCTACTCCGTTTTTTTCCTTTTTTTTCTGTTTTTATCGGCTTTCTTTGTTTCTTCACAGTTTTCTCTAGTATTTTGGTTTTCATTTTCTTTTTCACCGTTTTCTTCATTTTAGGCCAGTTTTTCCAGAATTTTCTTTTCTTTCATTTTAATTCAGTATTCTTTTAATTTTTTTCTTTTTTTATTGGTTTTTTCTTTTCTTTCCCATATATTCTTTATTTTCTGTTCTTGTCTTAGTTTCATCAGTTTTCTTTGTTTTTCTTTGGGTTGCCTTGGTTTTTTTATGGGTTTTCACGCTTTTCTTCAGGTTTTCCATTTTTCTTTGTTGTGGAGGTGTTTTTTTTCATCTTCTGTTCCTTTGGTTACATCACTTTTCTCTGTTTTTCTATTTTCTTCAATACATGTCTACATTTTTCATACACTTTAAGTATACATCAAGAAACATTTTTTTACATGTTTAATATTTTATAAATGCATGACTAACATTTAAAAAATATGTTTGATGGCAACTTTTTTCATACATATTGTTTCATTTACGTATACATCAAGAAATTTGTTTAATAAATATTTTTCTAAATATATGGTTAACATTTTTTGTGCACTATCAACTTTTTTAAAAATATACGCTTTTACGTTCATAAAATTTAATACATATTCTACATTTTTTGTATACATAAGTAATAACTTTTTGTACACCCTTAACATTTTTGAGATGATTACCATTTTTGAATATTTATCTTTGATCACTAATTTTTCATACACATTATATATTTTTGTATACATTAGGAACATTTTTTATACATGTTTAACATATTTAGATATACGATTAAGAAAACTATATGCTGTCAACGTTTTTAAAATTTTGTGCTTTTACATTCACTTTTTCATACACGTTCTACATTTTTGGTACACATTAGGAACTTTTTTAATACTTTTTTTAACATACAGAAGTACATTATATGTTTTAGGTACCAAAAGGGACATGAGACTCCATGATCCTAAAAAGATTTCATAACCAAAATACAGAATTGGGACATGCATTTTAAATTATTGGAATCACTGTGGTAAAATTGTTACTACAAATAGGAGTATATGAGCAATTAGATAGATGGACAAATCTGTATGAGTGGTGTGGAAATTCCTTTACATCTTCAAAAATAAAACATCTTGGTATCTTTAAAAAGTTAAATTACTCGCACCTCATTGAGCACACGGATAAATCAATAATTAGTTACCCAATTGTGTCGTCGTTGCGCACTTCATCAAAAAAACCTAACTACCATGAACCATGATCAGCATCCACAACCTCAATCTTCATCTGGATCTACGAGATCTACACCATTAAAACGCATAAACAAAACATTTAACAGTGTGGATTGGCTGGCAACACTCACCTCTAAAGAGGACACGCAACACCGGTCCATCGCCGAGCTCTGGCGCGCATCACGTCCCTTGTAGTCCAATCCTCGTTCTTTGAGCAAGCGGCGATGGTTCATCTACTGCGACTGGCGCGGAAGGCGAAAAGATGGCGCGTACCGTGTGGACGATGCATGCATCCGTTCCTGGATCCCGACGAGTTGATGCGTGTGTTATGGCGATGTAACGCTAGCAGTTGCTACTACTTAGGCGGTTGGATCAGACCCAATGGCCTTTCTTCCTTTCTTTCCCCACAGCTACACACGGCCCCCTTCCAGACACCTAATGTACATAATTGCATACGTGGGGGCTCCTTCCACCTTGGGGGCCTGGGGCGGCCAGCCCCTCTCAGGGCCGGTCTTGATGCCGTGTCGACGTTTCTTGCTTTCTTGTCCGTTGGCGCCAAAAAAGTTATAACTAGCTGGTAGCGTAGAAATATGTTCGCTAATTTTCACGCCGTTGCTAATGAATATGCTGATTGTACCGTTCTATGAAAAGTTATAAAAATTTACGCGGGAACCAACATGCATAACTAGATTGACAATTACTCTAACTATACACACCGAATACAACATACATATAATAGACTTTTTAAACAAAAAGATGATAATATGTAGCGTCTCTCTCGTTGCTAGACTTTAGTAGTGGCCTTTAACTTTCGGCAACAACTCACCGACTTAATGATAAAGGCAACAAAAGTTCATGTTTGCAAGCGTAACGCAACAACGACTCCTTATCGCCGACCCTTTACCAGATTGATTGTATTTCCTGATTGATTAGGTCATGCTAATCTTCCTTTCAAGATGCTACTGGTAGATCACAAATTACCATATAAAAACTAAAAATATATTTGGTACTTTCATCTTGTTTTGAAAATTATACTCCGTACATGATTAAAAAAATATGTGGTACTTTAATTTTGGGGAATTATCCAGTGCCCCAGCATCTCACAATCTCATGTATTTCCTGTCGCCACAGAAAAGAGGGAAAGCCGCTCGCGAAGCCGCAGAGTCCATCAAAACCGCAACCAATTGGAGAAGCGGCGCCACAGAGACGCACTCGCTCGCACACCGTCGCACGGACACGCACCACCGACCGACCCCGGCGGCCCGATTCGCTCTCCCTCGCCTCGCCTCGCCATGGAGAAGGCGCTCGTCGAGCGGCTCGAGGCCGCGGTGGCGCGCCTCGAGGCCGCCGCCGCGTCGGGGGCCTCGGCCGCGCGCGACTTCGGGGGCGCCTCCGCGTCGTCGGATCCGGCGATCCTGGCCTACGACGACTTCCTCGCCGACGCCTTCGCCCGCCTCAACGCCGCGGCCGAGAAGATCGGCGGGACGGTGCTCGAGGCCACCAACGTGCTCGCCGAGGCCTTCGCCGTCGCCAAGGACCTCCTCATCCTGGCCAAGCAATACCCGGTACGGCGCGCGCTTCCCTCCCTGCCCTGATCTGCTGTCTACGTCTGCGCTCGGCCCTCAGATCTCCGGGCGTTCCCTTCGGTTCTGGGGCACCGGGGCGTTGGTTCGGCGGAAATGGCTGGTCGACCCGAGATTTTGATCCTAGGTTAGGTCAGGAGATATAGGGTTTCGTTGATCGAGACGTCTGGGGCTGATGCCACTGTTGTAATGGCGTCCAGTATTGGATGCTGCCGCATAGTACAATGTTACCGTGCTTGATGGATCTGCAAAATTGTAACTGCAATTCTTACATCACTGAACCTTTTTCCCCCCTGTTCTGCAGAAACCTGCATCAATGGCTAAAGCGCAGGATTTCCTCAAGCCTCTAAACGATACTATTGCGAAAGCAACCGCTATGACGGAAGGAAGGAGGCCCGACTATTTCAATCACATGAAGAGTGTTGCTGACAGTCTCCATGCCCTGGCTTGGGTTGCGTTCTTAGGGAAAGGCTGCGGTTAGTGAAATTGCTTCGTTGGCTCTGAGTCCGGTCGAGGTTTATACATGTTTCGCGCCTGATTTGCTTTTATTCTTCCACCTTGCAAGGCATGAGTTTCCCAACAGCACATGTTGAAGAAAGCTGGCAGATGGCCGAGTTCTACAATAACAAGGTATGTCTTTTAGTATTCCATTTTCGACAGGCCTGGCGTAGTGGCGAAGTACTCCCCAGTGTGCCAAGAGGTCCTGGGTTCGACGCGGCCTCTCTGCATTGCACTGTGCAGGGGTAAGGCTTTGCCTCGTATAATCCTTCCCCGGACCCCACCTGCCGTGGGAGCTTCTAGCACTGGGTCTGTCCTTGCTCCACAATACCTGTGGCATTTATACCTACTGCCGTGGTTAAATTTATGAATAGCAAAAAAGCCTGATAAGAATGCTTCGGTGCTGTTTCTTTTTGGAAAGGTCTGCTATAGATTAGTGAGATGCATCTGTAACACTTATGGCTATCATCCTTCTTTATTCAAGCAAAACAACCCATTTATCATTTCTGGTTGTCACTACTAGATTATTCTTTAATTAAAATTTATTTTTACCATGTAATAGGTGTATTTTGTAAAACAAAAGCATTAGAACAACCTTGTTTTTAAAGTTATATTCATCCTGAAGAAATTGAACCCTATAAGCATCTAAAACAGTACATGCTACTTTGTATTTTTGGTCGCCAAATCAGGATTTTGTTTGGGTGGATGAGAAAGAGTGAAATGAGAGAATGAACTTGTATCTTGTACAAGATAAAAGCTAAAGGACACACCAATTTTTTTAGATTCAGCACAAGATGCATTTGAGAGCTGAGCTCACAAACCCGGTAAAAGGGGAATGGGGGATGTGCTGTGTGCATGAGTGACTGAGGAAGAGTGCCGAGGAAGGGACAAGATCGACCTGTCAACATAATTCTGGAAGGGGACGGTCGGGATTATGAAGTTTTTGACAACTTACTTATTAGGTTCACATGAGTAAATAGGAATACTCTTAAAAGGCCTAGAGTAGCATAAAGTTAATTTTTATGTCTTTTTCCGAAACCTTTGATGAAGATTACATATTTGTAAACCCACACATGCTAATTCATAGTAATTGAACATTTTGGGTGAAACATTTACTTATGTTTTGCCTGAATTGTCTTGTGATTTTGATTAATTTTTGTAAGATGTCCTCTCGCAAAGAGTGATTTAGTTAGTGCATCACATTACAATGGTATTAGTGATCCAGCTGAAAATTTTCATTCTACTACGAAACCAGATGTGTATTTGTTGTTTTGGTTCATGATGCATATACACCGTATTTCTCTTAGGTTCTTGTTGAGTACAAGAACAAAGATGCTGACCACGTTGAGTGGGCTAAAGCTTTGAAGGAGCTCTACACACCTGGCTTGAGGGATTATATTAAGAAATATTATCCTCTTGGGCCTGTGTGGGGTCCTGCTGGATGTGCACCACCAAAGGCTGCTGCCCCAGCGGCTAAGGGTCCTCCTCCACCTGCTGCACCATCAGCTCCTCTTTTTAGCACAGACAAATCTCCAAAATCTTCGCAGCCTAAGCAAGGAATGTCAGCTGTGTTTCAAGAGATCGGTGGGGGCAAAGATGTGACTTCAGGTAGATGATAGCACCTGCTTTGTCTATGACCAGAGATTTGTTTCCTTCTAGAATAACATACATATGAGGCCCTATTATTATTTTTACAGGGCTGCGGAAGGTTACTGATGACATGAAGGCTAAAAACCGTGCTGATAGAAGTGGTGTTGTGACCAGTAGTGCTGCTGCCCCTGCTCCTGCGAAGACTTCTCGTGCAGGAACCTTTGGCTCCAAGACTGGAACCCCAAAACTGGAGCTTCAGATGGGTCGCAAGTGAGTGCTAAAAACAACATACTGTTATCTAGCGTCTATTATCTACTAGTACGTCATTACAGGTTGTCACTGATACGTTGTGGGTTTGTTTGGTGGTCTGCATCAATGCCAGGCAGGCCCAACCATGTGGAATAGTTATAGAAACCTTGTGTTTGATTAGTTGGGTTAGAGAGCAGGCACAGAAATAGATGGACTTGCGCGTAGTTGAGAGGGAGCTGAAAACAGGATATGGATTTGTAATCCTGTTTAACGAATTGTTTAGATGAATGCTCGTGTTGAGGTTTGTGGCACAAATATAGATGAAAGAGTTTCAGAGAAAATGACTTCACATAAGACCAAGGGATAGTTAAATTCGTGTAAGAAAAACACTCATCTCGTACTAACCGGAGATAATTAAATGCAATATCAAGAGAAATTATTGCAAAGAAAATTAAGGAAGCACATTGGATTAATTTTGAATTGTGTATTTGAATAATGTAATTCCATCTGATATCAAAGAAGCTAACCTTCTTTCCTAATCTATATTTCTTATTGGTGTCGATAATTTACATATGCTGCTTGGTGGAGCTTGCACCATTTAATTAGTAGGATAATATTGTGGTTCTTTATAAATGAGAGCATATTTCTTTACACTGATCTATTTTACATTTCCTCTTTAAAATGGCAGATGGGTGGTCGAAAATCAAGTTGGTAGAAAGGACCTTGCTATTGATGAGTGTGATTCTAAACAGTCTATCTATGTGTTTGGATGCAAGGATTCCGTCCTTCAAGTAAATGGTACTCCCTCCATCCACAATATAAGATGTTTTTGCAAGCTAAAACGGTTTGCTACGTCCCACAATATAAGATATTTTTGCAAGCTAAAACAGTTTGCAAAAACGTCTTATATTATGAGACGGAGGGAGTAACGTATACAAGTATATCTTTACTTCGGATATATTATGTTCTTCTGGAAGCTTTGGTCAATAGCAAATGCTAAACTTTTTGCAGGTAAAGTAAACAATATCACCGTCGACAAATGCACCAAATTTGGAATTGTTTTCAAGGTTAGCAAAAACCATTCTGGGGCGTCAGCTAACTGATATTGCATTTCTTTTTTGGAATTAATATTGCATATGCCGAGAGTAATTTAGTTAATGTGTCATGCAGGATGTCGTAGCAGCTTTTGAGGTTGTCAACTGCAACGGCGTTGAGGTGCAATGTCAGGTACTCGATTGTTCTGTGAATTCGTGTCATCGGTCTAAAAGTGTCACTTTTGTTTGTATGATGGTCAAACCTTTTGAACTTGGCATGCTTCTAGTGTCGTGAAGCACTAAACTCATCGTCTCTTTACCTGTAGGGCACCGCACCGACAATATCAATCGACAACACAGCTGGGTGTCAGTTATACTTGAACAAAGAATCACTGGCCGCTTCCATTACTTCGGCTAAATCCAGTGAAATGAATGTATTGGTTCCTAGCGACGAGACTGATGGCGACTGGGTAAGATGCGATCTTTATTTTTGCACCGTGTGAATTCCTCTTCTGTACTACGGAATAAGGCTGGGGTATCTACACATAAGCTACAGGCCTCAACCTAACCTTGTGTGCTTCTTATGCTGCAGGTGGAGCATCCTTTGCCGCAGCAGTACATCCATTTTTTCCAGGACGGGCAGTTCACCACATCCCCAGTTTCTCATTCCGGCGCATAAATAAATCCGATGATATCTTCTTTTTTTGTGTGTGGCTGTTCGATTGTTCGATGCTGCCTTTGCCTTGTTTTTTTTTCTAAGATGGTGGTATGCTGAGAGTTGTTGTAGCTCTTGTTCGGTTGTTGACTTCTTCTGAAGCCGTAGGTTCTGCCTGCAGATTGTTGTTTCTCTTGCCATTCATTTGACCAGTGTGTAGGGCCTGGCCTGTATGTTTTCCTTGCACTTGCTTGGTATTTTTTGTTATTTGTACGCCAACAAAATACTTCAGTATGCTTCGGATGATGATTCTTTTTATGATATGCTATGACTGTCGGCGTGTCCCTACCTTGTCATTGATGTTGGTACACTGTTTCTTTAACGAACTAGGGTTCCCAACTGATTATGAAACAAATATATTTGTTCACATCGTATCAGAGTTGGACAGTGCAAAACCACATATGAGCAGAACACAAGTTGCTTGCCTCAACACACATTACAGAGATTGCAGACAGAAAAGGAAGGTCAGGCCAGCAGAGACATGAACAAGAAACAAGCAAACACATGGAGGGCAGGCACGGTGCGAGGCGATTCAGCAGCACTACGAGCATGCCGAGGCGGCGACGTCGCCGCTGCCGACGCGCTTGGCTGCGGCTGCACCGGCGTCACCTGCACCAACAGAAGCGAGACGAGAGCTCCACCGTAAGTTCACAAGAAACTTCGAAAGCAAACAAGATCCAAGGGCAGACAGAGTGATGGGTGACCCACCTGCGGTGTCGCCGGCGGGGGGCTCGCCGGCCGCAGCGTCGGTGCCGGAGCCGGCGCCAGGCCCGCGGTGCCGTTCCTCATCAGCCCCGTCGGGTACGTCTCGGTGAGCGTGGTCTGAAAGAGGCCGAAGGACTTCTCCGACGCCTTCCCGGGCTTGAGGTCCTCGTCGTACACGGCGAAGAGGTAGGTGTCGACGGACTTGCCGGGCATCCGCGGCGTGCCGACCATGGACCGGAGGTGGGAGACGAGGTTGGAGACGAAGGCGCGCGCGTTCTCCACGGAGGCGCCGGCCTCGTCGGCGCCGCCGCTGTGCGGCCACCCGGTCTCGGCCACCACCACCTCCACGTCCTTGTACCCCTTGGCGTCCAGCGCGGCGCGCACGGCGTCCACCTGCGCGTCGAACATGCTGGTGTAGGTGAGCCCGGACCCGGCGTCCGGCCGCCCGGCGTTGGGCTGGAAGAGGCAGAAGGCCAGCGTGTCCGGCCTGGGGTCGTCCTGGTACGCGAAGTAGGGGTACGGGTTCACCAGGAACGGCGAGCCGGTCTTGCTGAGGAAGGCCAGCAGCGGGTCCAGCGCGGCCGACAGCTCCGGCTTGAACGCCCCCGACGACGGCGGGTCCGACGACGCCAGCACGTCCATGGCGTTCACCGTGGACACCTTGATGCCGGAGCTGGCCGGCAGCGCGTCGTAGATGTTCTGCAGCGCCGGGACCAGCTGCGAGATGAGCGCGGCGTCGCCCGAGTAGAGCACCTCGTTGCCGACGGAGATGCCGTTCACGGCGGGCGAGGAGGACGACGGGAGGTGCGCGGCGACCCAGGCGGCGGCGGCCGACGGCGAGGATGCGAAGGAGGGGATGTCGGCGTTGGCGGCGCCGAGGAGCAGCGAGATGCTCGTCCCGGCGAAGGCGGCCACCACGGCCGGGTCGGTCCTGTAGAGGCGCACCTTGCCGATGGTGGTGGACTTCAGCAGCCGCGCCGTCGACGCCGGCGGCGGCAGGTTGTCGGCGATGTCGCCGTAGTTGATGCCGATGAAGGACTGCGGCGCTGCGACACGTGTCCCACCGTTAACAACACAAGTATATATACGGAGTAGTTTTTTTTAGTAAACAACATGAGTATAGTTGGCAAAATGCACTCCTAAGGTCACTGCACAGTAAATAAACTTGTGAAGAGCACAAGAAATCCCCGCGGAATTCAAAATTTCAAATGGGTAGACTTGGAAAACAAAGTGTGTCAGGTCGGTACAGCGCTAGTACAAGTCACCCTCACAACGACACGACGAGCGAGCACGTAGGATTTTATCACGAGTGCGCGTGCATAATTGGATTTTTTTTCGAATTGTTGACAATGTTGCACGGTTGAGAGCGCAGACACCGTTGTTTTCCACAGATGTAAGTAGGTTCATTTCACTGTCACCCACATTCTTTCCCGGGCTAAAAACAGAACCATGTCGACACGAAGGGGACGGTTGAAGAACCGACGCCACTTTTGGCTGAAGAACCTACGTGAAAGAGACGTCAGTTACTAGTACTTAGTTACCCTGTGACCTGAATTCCATTCCAAGAAGTAGAAGAAGAAAAGGTACACTACCAACGATTTATTTATTTTTCTCCTTGTCAGGGCTATGATGATGCTCCAGTGGCAGTAGGAAGGAAGGAATCGAACATCTGGACATGTGCTCGACTGGCTCAAATCTCAAAAGAGCGTACAGTACTAATGATAAAAGAAAGTGAGAAGAAGCTTCCAAAGTCGAAACACCGCAACGGCGAGAAGCCGAGAACAGAACCGAATTCAGATTAGCCGAAGAAGAAAGCAAAGAACCGGATGCAGGCGTAACCGACGGAGCCGAAGATCATACCAGCATACGGGACGTGGACGAGCAGCAAGAGCCCCAGGAGGAGGAGGGCAACCAGCAGAGGCCGCGGCATCGCCGCTCCGGCCGCGTGGTCGACCGAGCTCTTCTTGTCCCTTCTGCCCGCTTCCTCGTACTGCTGCCGCTACCTTGTGGCCGCGCACTCGCTCACTTGGCTACACCAGCTGAAGGCTGCGGTTTAACTAGTGGTGGTGTGGCACCACCACGGATGATGTGAGTTGAGCTGATGAGTTGCTTAGCGAGGAGGAGAAAGGCTGGAAAGAGAGAGAGGGGGGGAGGGAGAAAGAGGAAGCAAGCAAAGCGGAAAGCCCCTCTCCCCGGCCGGCCCGCTCCTCCTCTGCTGCAAAAGAGAAAGGAAAGCTTCCAGACCGGGAAGGAAGGAAGGAGCCGAGCCGCCGGATTTGAACTACCCGACCCGAGTGGGTGAGGTGGCCCAGGGAGCGGTGCGGGGATCCGACGGCCAGGGTTGCTCCGTGGGTGGGATCGGGGATTCGGTTCAGGCTCAGGATCGAGGTGGGCGCGGTGGCCGTACATGGTGAATCGGTGATGTATCTACCTGGATGCGACCAACTCCTCGTCCTGTCCTCTGTGTTAGAGCACGATGGCAAATCCGCCCTCTCAAACGCTCATCATGTACTCCGTTAGAGCATCTCCGGCCGTGACGGGCAAATTCGGCCTCCCAAACGCCCGCGGACACGGACACTGATCGCGTGCGCATCATAATTCGTTATCAACATCCGTGTATCTCATATCCGGCATCATATATCCATGCTACGCATGCAACGCGTTGAAATACTGTACGTGATCAAACAACGAACAAAGAAATCGACATCAAACCGACAATGAGATGCATAAACCCACTTTACATTATCCAAAAGATCACCGCAGTTCATCGCCGCACAAGTTCAACTACTAAAAACGATAATTAGACTTAAGAGGGAGCTTCTTCACCACTTCTTCGCCGGGCCTTTCCCCTTCCGATTGCCGGCGTAGCTGTAGGTGTCCGCGGCTGGTGGAAGATCTTGGTCGTCGGAGGAGGTGGAGCTGCCATCGGAGTCGGAGCCAGAGAAGAACAGGACTAACAGCCCCTTCATCCAACGGATGGCCTTATCATGTTGCCGCTTTAGTTTGGCGACCCGAGCCGCCTTCGCCGCTATCTCCTTCGCCTCCCTCTCCGACTACTCTATGGCTAGCCGAAGGTCTGTTGCGTTCTTTCGCCGGAGGCGTTGAGCGTCTGTCTCCGCCGTCATGATCGACCAACGGTAGACCTCGGCGAGGAGCCGCTCCTCCTCGTTGGGCT